ATCTCCTGACAATCACTTGCTTGTTAAACCTGCTTAATTCTCTCTACCTATTTGCTATTTTTATTGACATCAAGTCAGCTTTTGACAACGTTCTTCCACACATTCTGCTTCAAGATATCATTGAATTAGGCTTCCCTTCACTATTCATTAAATTTATTAACAATCGCGTAACATTTGTGATGAGGGGCTCTCTCTCTTCCACATACACTTCGCGTAAGGGCACCCCACAGGATCTGTTCTCAATCTCACTCTGTTTAATATAGTACTATATATATCTTAGAGAAATTAATAACTTAACAGATAGTTATCTGGACCCTAATACATCTCTCTTACAATTTGCTGATGATATTGTCATCTTTGCCTTTAATGTTAAAACTCGTGTAGCTCTACTTCACTCTAATCAGTCGAGCGCTTATTGCTAAATATTCAGTTCTATCTGACGTTCAGAAGTCTGGAAATTTCAACCAGTAAAACGCAGATGATGCTATTTTCTAAGAGAAGGAGGATTTCGAACACGAACTTATTGACAATCTCAATGGCGGAACAATTTCTCTTTGTCTGTCAGATTCCTGAAGGAATGCAATTGCTTTTCGAGTATACCTTTCGGGACATTCTCGAAGGCTCCGTGGTTTTTTATACGGATGGCTCCAAAATTGACGGTACATATGTGGGCTCTGCGATTTACTCTTCTCAGTTAAAATTAGAGGAAATGTACAACTATCATACACGACTGTCTTTACGGCTGAGGCATGGGCTATATAATGCTTTGCTGATCCTTTATAATAATTTGTAAAAAGTTACTATAGTGTCGAACTTTAAAAACGTCCTTGATGCGCTCAAAAGCTTTCACAATAAAACACATAACTATATTATATCGTATACTAGAGCACTAGTAGAGAAAGCTAAATTTAATAATACTCGAATTAGCTTTATTTGAGTTCCCTTGCACTGTGGCATCCGTGGAAATAAGCATGTTGATCTTCTCACTAAGAGAGCTATTCACGATGGTGTCGATGAAAACTTTAAAGTTCCTTTCTCGGATCCCTTTTTTATACCTAAATTACACTTATCTAACGTATTTGATAATGTATTGAAAAAGCATCTCAGAACAAAGGGATCTATTTCCATCAAAACTTTTACTCCAAAAACAAAAGACCATGATTTTATGGCACCCAACTTTCTCGCATGTTGATTACCACAGTAAACTGTTTGAGAAGCAATCACTTTAATCTTAACCATAGCTTATTTCGGAAAAACCTAATTGATGACCCTTCCTGTCCGTGTGGAGCCTCTTGTCAAGACCTAGTCCACATCATATTTGATTGTCTCATTTTGGAATGCCATGCTCTTCTCCTTAGAACAGCACTCCAAGATAGCTCCCTCGACAATCCTTTAAATCCTAATGATTCGATTATTCACGCCTCACGCAATTCCTCTGCCAAGATATGCTGATTGTTTGCAGGCTTTGGTATCGCTTGTGATCACAATCTTTAATTTGAATTGCGCGCTGCTCTTCCGCGTCGGGTCTGTGGCGCTTCGGTGCTGGCTTTTGATTTCGACTATCCATCCCGTCCTAGTGGCACGTCTACTACCGCTTGCCCTCCACCCCATCGCGAGAGTCGGAATCATTTTTGGTTCCGCTTAGGTATCGCTTTTTAGCGACACGCAGCGCAGAAGCCCCTATGATCTATATTTGTCTCTCATCGCTCTTAAATACTCTAAGATGTAATCTGGCCGTATTGTTTCCGCTTACTTACTGCAGACAGGAGCCAAAAACTAAAAAGAAGAAGAAGAATGATCCGGATTAAACCCTCGGTTTAATCTAAAACTAGGCCAATGACTAATCACAATTTATGAGGCAGAGCGAGACTTTTTTTGTCAAACTTTTACTTATTTTTATGCGAAAACACATCGATTGGATGTATTTTCATCACTGTTGTTAACTCTATTAATTATGTCGTACAAATGCTTACAGTTCCTCAACGATAATCTCGATATTATTTAGATAATCTAGACATTTAATTACGCGAAAATATATCGGCTAAAAAATATTTTTATCAATATTTAAGTATCAATATTTAACCGAAACCCTATGTTATATATAATATAGCTTTAGCCACAATCTTACTTATTCAACTCTTTCGCGATCGCGTTGATTACCGTAAAATAACTAACGTCAATAACTTCAACTTATAATCTGTTTTACGTTGTATGTTCATTACAATAAACAAACACTTTTGTTTCAATTCTTATCTGTGATCAATTATTGGTAATTAAAAATTCCAAGATAATAATTGAATTTGTTTTATCATTAATAAAAATAGTGTTTATACATCAAGTGGTCTCTATTTTCTGTTCCTACATTAGACCGCACTAGAACTCTCTTTCTCGCTTTCAACAAATATCAAATATATACCTATTTCACTTTAAGTTCCAAAATACTGTACACTGGTTCAGCCACAGAAAACAGACCACAGATAATTAAAAGTGATAATTTTTTTTATTATTTACAGCACTTACGTATGTAATGATTTTAGTAAAACTTAACAGAATTTGGAGGATATGACCAGCAGCAGCGATCAAGCTATTTATAGCTTTGTTTTTTCAATTTTAATATTCGCTTATACATATCTATCTATACATACACAATTTGATTTATAATATATAAACAATAAATATTGCTTTTGTTTAAAGTTTATTTTTATTTTCATAATGTCATGGCAACGGATATGACACTTATAGTGACGATATTAACATAATAAAACAATCATTACTTCAACATTTCTAGATCGAATGACGTTATATATAATATGTACAATGTAACATACGATTACATTTTAAAAGTTATATTTTTGTCGATTGTAGCTAAAATCTCTTTATGCTAAACTAAACTGGCAGTACCGATGTTGATGACAACGTTGTCAGCATTTCGCTCGTAAACAGTGAGATCATGTCTTCTTGGCTGTTCCAATAAGGCAGCGAGCTGTTCTCCACTTGTAAATGATCCAGTCGAAGGTGATAAGATCACGTCACAGTCTAGTTGACCTGCACAGAAAGAAAATAATATTTTATATAATATTATATTTTTACTATATCAGTTTTTAATGACAAATCTAATTAATTTTAAGGATTTTAATAAAACAAAATATATTAATTTAAGAAATCTCGAAGTTTTAATGTTAAATAAATGTTTAATAGATACATCATTTATTACTTATCTACTCTAATGTTGTATCTTTTTATATAAGGTGTAGTAAAAAGAAATCTATTATTTTTGCATTAAATTGAAGGCTTTATTTAGCATAGTTAGAATGATCCGATTTAGGTCAAATATGCACCGTTTTGTTCGATAACTTGTTGCCATTTTGAAGGTAATTTCATTATGCCTCTCTCATAGAAACCCTCGTCCCTATTGGCAAAAAACTGGGACAGTCGATTTTCACAAGCTTCTCTTGAGGCGAATTTTTCACCAGCAAAATCATTCGCCATAGACAGGAACAGGTGGTAATCACTTGGTGCCAGGTCCGGACTATAAGGTGGATGCATAAGAACCTCCCAACCAAGCTCCCGGAGCTTCTGGCGAGTCACTATCGATGTGTGTGGCCTGGCGTTGTCTTGATGGAACACAATTCCTCTCCTATTGGCCAAAGCTGGCCGCTTCTGGGCGATTGCTTCTTTCAGACGGTCCAATTGTTGACAGTACAGGTCCGAATTAAGAGTTTGGCCGTAGGGGAGCAGCTCATAGTAGATGATTCCCTGCCAATCCCACCAAACACACAGCAAAACCTTCCTGATCGTCAATCCTGGCTTGGCCACCGTTTGCGCCGGCTCATCGCGATTCGACCACGACCGTTTTCGCTTGACGTTGTCGTAAGTGACCCACTTTTCATCACCAGTAACCATTCGCTTCAGAAATGGGTCGATTTTGTTGCGATTCAGCAGCGATTCGCAGATGGAAATTCGGTCCATGAGGTTTTTTTGCGTTAACTCGTGTGGCACCCATACATCGAGCTTCTTTTTGTATCCAGCCTTATTTAAATGGTTCCAAACGGTTTTTTGTGCAATGTTTAGCTCCTGGGCAATCGAAACAGTGCTTACATGACGGTCGGACTCGACGATTTCCATTATTTTATCGACATTTTCGACAATTGGCCTTCCAGAGCGTGGTGCATCTTTGACATCAAAATTACCGGAACGGAATCGACGAAACCAAAATTGCGCGATATTGACTGTCACAGTATCAGGACCATAAACACTATTCACATTTTCAGCCGCCTGGCTTGCGTTTTCACCTTTATCGAAGAAAAACTGTAAAATATGGCGTATTTTCTCTTTGTTGGTGTCCATCTTTGACACGCGCTCAAACAATACTGACTCAAGCAATCACAAAACTGTCTGAGAAGTTTTTTTAGTACGAAATCTTATCTTTCTAACGCCATTTGGCGTAATCCGATCGCACTTATACAACGCGAGATACAGATTACTAAAGCCATCTATTGGAAAAATAATAGATTTCTTTTTACTACACCTTATACTTACCTGACAACGAAGGCGATGCGCCTTTGCTGGAGCCATACATACGGGTACTGTATCCAGAATCATTATGAGTGTCGTGCAGAGGCGGTGTTGGACTGTACACGGGATTACGTGATCTGTACGGCATTCTCGCTATACTGTCATAAGGCACATCTTTGGAGATACCCTTTCTACAGTTCATCTCCTTATATGTTTTAGTTTGTTCAACATCGTTATCTTCCCCTTCGCTGCTCTCGCTTTCGTTCTCTGCGACATTAATTGTCAATTAGGATTTATTACATTATACATAAATTTAAAGGATTTTTAAAACAAGGATAATTTACAGCGAATGTCATAAATTAATTTTTATGCTAAAAGTGCTAAAACTTTAAATAATAGTTAATAAGGTGGTTAATATTTTTAGCTAAAAATGTATATGAAATGTTATAATAGTTTCCGAGACAGTATTTCAATAATCTCAGTCAATATTATTAAATATTATTAACAAATTATGTGCTCATTATGTATATAAAATCGCTTCTTCAATCAATTTTATTCTTCAAAGAAAAATTCTTGTTTTGAATAAGTAATAATGAGTTTGTAGTAAGTATAATTTAAAATTATTATCAAGAAAATATTCTTTGTCTTGACATCAAAAAAATAATCGTTACTTAAAAGAAAAAAAATAAATTGAGTAATCATTTTTTTAGCGATAGAATAATATTATATTTTTTTGTGGACATGTCCAAAATCGGAACATAAAAAAATATCCGTCTCATGTTCAAATTTTGGATATGCGTGTCTGGCAACATATTTTATTATTCAAGAATTACTTCACCTTGAGAATGTACCCTCTGATTTTGCGAGCACTTGGTATGTTCTTCCAGACTGGCCTGTTCACTGCCTCCGGAGCGAATTCTTCGCCAACCATTATGCATATCAGGTACTTGCTGAAATCGCTTGATCATCTCATGAACGCTGCGGCGATTCCATTCCGTCATATTCCCATCGCTAATCTTCTGAATCTTATTTTCATCCATGGACATGTTCATGCCATGCATATCATATGACACGCAATTCTTAAAACATATTTAGATGAACATTTATTTTTCTTTAATTCTATATTGTTTTAACATAATTAATAAATTGTTTAAGTATCCAGAGTAGAGATTTTTATTAATTTTATAGAAAAATATTATCTTATATTACATCAACAAATTAGTGATCAGACAATCAACTGTAATCAAATATAGATTTTGTGTCTGATTATAATTCTTATCAACAATATGCCATGAGAAATATTTAAATATTATAATAAGTATATTAATATATTATAGTCATGTAATTTAATTCAGATAATATAATGACCAAAATTGATTGCAGATTCTATTATCATATTTTGTCAGCATGTCTGCTGGCAAATTAACATATAATTATTGTTTCATTATTTATTTTATAAAAAAATAATTATTATTACAGTAAGTAGATGATAATACAATTCAATCTTACTCTTTGTTGACGTCTCCCCTTCACAGGAACTGAATCTATTGGCGCCATGTCTAAGGACGAAGTTCCATCCGGTCTAACGGCTCCATCGAATGTTTCGTTCAATTTTGGAGGAATGTCCAACACTCTGAGCGCTGATTTGACTATTCCAGGTCCCGAAGGTAGGTCCTTCATAGACATACTAAGTCTAGGTATAGCCGGTATATCAAGATCATCTAGACTTCCACGATGAACTGGCGTTTCTCCGGGAATTTCAAAGCTGCGATCCTGCGGTCGATCATCCAACAGATCCTCTAATGATCTCGTTCTCATTGGTAATATTACTTCGGACTGATTATAATTAGTTTTCGCAGGCCTCTCACTATATCTGCCTCTAGCACCTCGTTGTAGACGTTGCTGAAGATGCGAATACCTCTCGTCGCACCTGGAACGCTCCTCTTGAACGCACCTAGTCAGTTCCGAGATTTGTCCCCTGGTCCTCCTTTCCAGATTGGCCACTTTTAGGTCCAGCTTCTCATGTGCCTGATCAATGTGTGCTTTTAATTCGGCCTTGTCTCGCTCCAACTTTGCCTCCATATGTCGGAAAAATGGTGCGCAATAGCATGTATATCCGACACCCACCGGGCCCTTTCTGATATTGCCCGCCAAGTCTAAGTAATACTGTTCACCCCGTCCTAAGGGGTCAGAAGGTAATGAATCTAGACGAGGTTGAGGGAATGCTTCCGGATCTGGGTAATAGTGGCAGCCATAGGGTGACCATTGTCGACCTATAATAGCTTTTTCAAAGCGAACTTTGTGCTGTTTGCTGTTGGACTTATACTTCTTTCGATCTTTTTTCGAACTATCACCACCGCTGGTACCACTTCCGGTCTTTTCTCGCTTTTTATCTGACTTCATTGTCTTACCTGATAAAATAATCATTTAAATATTTTAAATAATTAATTGATAATTTCAAATTACTTGATGCGAACCAAATTCTTTACAAAATAATGCAACATTCATGAATAGGTAATATCATAGTTTTTCGTAGCATATCATTAACAAACTAATCTATCAAAGTAATTATCTATCCAGTTAATTTTTTAATTAGACTAGATTCTTACCGTCATCTATTTTGCCATCTATCAAGTCTCTCTCACGGCTTTTGCTGCGCGTCCGGCTTTTACAGCGTGCCTTAGAAATAATTTCCAAGATTTCGGTATGATTCTTACGACGAGCAATATCCTTTGCCGTTTCGCCCTGTTTATTCCGTAGACTTCGATCGCAACCAGCTTCTAAGAGAATACGCGTCAATTTCCGTCGACCCATCGCTGCTGCTATATGCAAAGCAGTATCGCCATTCTAGAATGAATAAATGATTTGTATTATAAAATAAAATAAAAATGAATAAATGTAATAATTGTATTATAATTGTATTATTTAATAGAAATTTATTATCTCATTCTTACTTTATTTTGATCAGATACTTTGCACAGAGCTGAGATTAGTATACGCATTACGCCAGCATGGCCATAACGTGCCGAAGTATGAAGCGGTGTATCGCCATACTGAAACAAGTAAAAGAAAGAATTAATTTTTTTAAAGAATAACTATATATTATAGTTTGTCTGGAGAAGAACATTTTTTATTTTATTTTTTATTATTTATACTGCAATTACAGTTTAATATTCTTGTCATCCATCATCTATTTAATCTATTTATACCAACGAAATTTTTCCTTAAAATTTGATTATTGCTGCTAATTTATTTATCTTATTTCGCATAAACAAAATTAATATACTATCACTTTATTTTCTGCAATTATATCTCTGTATATTTATTATAATTTTATACATAATTATAAAATAATATACATATTTCTACAAAAACGAATTTACGTATCACCGTCTGCATACGTTTTAATTTAAAAAATTTAGCTTCTCAAAATTAATGCTGAATTTCTTGCTTACTCTTATCTCCTGATCCACGCGCCGATAAATACGATAAAGCGGTTGAAAGAAAAAAGATGGGATAGATTGCTTACGTTGTTCTGAAGATCGGGATTGCTGCCGGCTAGGAGGAGCTCTCGACAACTTTGATTATGGCCGTTTTGACAAGCAAGGTGAAGCGGTGCAAATCCAGCGAGATTCCTGGCGTGCAGTGGGGCCCGTTGCGTCCCGAGGGCCTTCGCCAGAACCGCCACGGTCCGACTGTAACCACGCCATGATGCCTCGTGCAGTGCCGAGTTTCCATGCTGAAATACAACACGCAGACATATTCATCGACGGCTGCTTGATGCCCAGCCCAAACTATAAGGTGTCTCGAAAGAGGCACGAACATCAATCTCAGATATAGGATTTACATAACTGTTCATATAATAATCCTCGATCTTTTAATCGAACAGCCTATGTTAGTATGTTTCCTAATAATCCTAATTCTTCTAACTGTATCGGTTAGATTTAAAACGGAGATTGTTGTGTTTCAATTTTATATGGTAGAGAATAAATCAAGAGCTGAAAGAGGTCTTATTCAGTTTCCTATTCAATTTATATTTATCTTATTTTCTAGTTCGCTCTTTTTATCTGTAGAATAAAAAAATTAAGATTTGTAAAAAGTAATTTTATTATATTAAAAGTAACTTTATTATACTATTGTATAATAATAAATAACAATAAATAAAGGACAAAGTAAGAGCCAAACACATTTCTTAAAATTGTCACACAATTAAAAAGAATAAATTACAAATAGAGAAAAGTAAAATTGAAAAAATATAATAAAATAAAAACTCAGTTTAAATACAAATATTACAAATTTCGGCTACCGGATAGAGCCCTCTTCAGACATCAACTCATCGTAAAAAATCGCAGTACAAATTAATTATCGTAAATGTGTTCGCATATTCACTATAATCACAGTTCGGGTGAGTCTTGATGTAGAACTCGACATTATTCGCATATGATTGAACAGTCAAATGTGTTTCATATCTCTTGGAAAAAATGATAAAAAAGATAAAAAGACTTCTTACGAAAAAATAAACACAACCAAATTAACATACCGGGATTCTAACAAGCAATTAAAACTCATTAAAAATCATATATAAATTGTTCAAGCAAGTGTGTCCATATAAATATGAGAACCCATTAAAATATGTAAAGTTTAGTGGAACGTAGATGTGTAAGACGGACATTATGTATCGATTATAATATGTTATATGCTCGCTGAGGATCACCACGGAGAGAAGAGATGGACTGTCAATATCGAAAAGTCAAACTTTCTTTACAATAGGTATATGCCTTGTGAAAACCTTCAGTCAGTAATTCAGTGTCAGTAAATTTAAACTATTCTTCTGT